TCCGTTAAGTTTAACGGAGAGATGAGAATACGGCCACTGACGTTTGCAAGATGTTTTTATTTATCTTATCAGTGGTCAACGAGACCAATTGTCTTACTGAACTAGCTTTCAAAAGATTTCAGTAATAAAATGAACTGCGAATCATAAGGTCCACGGATTCGATGGTCACTTAAAATTAGTTATCAGCTTTAATAATGATTATATTTTAATGTTTAAACTTTAATAGTATTTTTAAGGTATTTAATAACATTAATGCTAATAATATTTAATATGCTCATTTAACTCCTTTTTTTTTTTTTTTTTTATAAAAAGAAAGATAAATTTCAACGTATTTTTTTTATAAAGTTTTAAATACATTTTCTACTAAGAAAAATAATTTTCTACTAAGAAAATTTGAAATTCATATTAGAAATATTTTTTTATAATCCATATCTTATTGAATTTTTATATGACTCATTTAGGTTATATTTTGCCAAGAATATAAAATAGGTATTAGGCGCAATAAAACTATAATAAATTTTTTTTCAAATGCAAGCGAAATAAAAATAAAAATGTTTTTGGACTCGTTAAGCAACGTATTGTTAAGTAACAGTTTTTGAATTTTCCAATTATTATGGAACAGTTATTTTCTACAAAATTTTTACATATCATTTTAAAAACATCGATTTTTTACTCGAATGAACGCAAAACATTCAACAAAAAACACCAAATAATGCAGGTTTATACCGCAAACCCCTAAAAATAATCCTGTTTAAATTTGAACGTGCAAAATTAAATAACATCATTAATTTATCAATATCTAAATTCGATCATTAAATACCAAATATGTGTTTATGTTGCAAAAAAAAAAATTATTTTGATATTGTAAAAACGCTATAAAAGACACATCTTAGCAGTCCTTCTTAAACATTTAAAAAGATACAAAATTTAATACTAAAACTTTATCTAAATTACTTTATACTAAATTCAATCTTTACAAAACTATTTTAGTGTTGTGAGCACTTTATACTAAATTTTATTTTTACAAAACTATTTTAGGGCTGTGAACACTTTATACCAAATTTTATTTTTACAAAACTATTCTAGTGCTGTGAGCACTTGAGTGTTATTGTTTTTTGATAAACAATATGACTTGAAATCAAAAAATTTAAAAGGTTATTTTTAAAAATTAAAGTAATTAATAATAGTTTGTGTTTAATCTAATTATTTAAATCAATAATTTAAATATTAATACACATTAAAAAAAAAATTTATTTTGTTGTTAATTCTGCATTAAAAACAAAAACTGTTTTAGATTTTTATTGGCATTTGTTACAATTGTCTTCACAACAAATAAATTCGTTATCAAACAAGTTAAAAACAAGGAATACATTTATGGTATTGTTTGCGTACCGAGTTGAAAAGATCATAGAAATTTATCGTTATTAGATTGTTTATTTTTAGTCACAACCGTATGATTTTTGATTTACGGAAATCCTTAAAGCTTATATATTTACTTACAAGGCTGCGGCAATTTGCGACAACTTTTTTTAAGGACAAAAGATGTTTTATAAAATTTTTTATTATAAATTATCTTTTCTAGCGTTCTTTAAAATTGTGTTTTTGTTAATTTAAAGTAAATCTACTTGAAAAAAAAAACACATACACACACAAGTAAAGTTTTTTTATAAAAACTATATACAAATTTATTATTCATACTTCTTCTTGGTTTAAAAACAATTGCGGATTACAATTTCGGTTAATTTTATTAAATTAATCGATAAAACAACATTAAATCAAAAGTCTCAAGAATTTATAGAAGAAATCTTTAATCTCAGGACTTAAGAGCGAAATTCTATAGTCTGTAAAGAATATTAATATAGAGAATAGAATATAAGAGTAACAGAATATAAGAGAGATATCTCATGTTTTAGAAATTAAAAAGAAGAATGTCAAGTATTAGAACTTGAGGGGAGAAATACTAAATCTCAGGACTTGATGTTAAAACGTCAAAAATTTAAAATAAACACGCTTTAGGTCAACTCGTTTTTAACTATTTATTTGCGGATTTTGTAAAATATTTTATATAAAAGAGTTGTTTTATTGTAATTAGTTCCATTTTAATATAACTTGGTGGGCGCTTAAAGTTAAAACGTGGTCAGTAATTCAAAATATATTGTTATCAGTAAAGAATAATTTGGAAACTAATACATTGCATTACAAAACATATATTCTACATGAAAACAAAGAGCTCAAGTTTAGAATTATCTAATATGAGTTTAAAAATCATTGTAATTTCACGTGTAATTGCTCAAGTAATTGTAAGATCCTCCTTCAAATACAAAAGATATTTATTTAAAACGTGTTAAGTAAATTTATTGTTTTTATGTTTGTTTTATAACCAATATTTTATATTTTGATTTTTATCGTTTAATAAGCAATTAAATAGATAACTAGGTTTGTTCAGGGGGTAGGGAACTGCAACTTCCAAAATTTTTTCTACGAAAATTAACAAAGTTTC